AATACCCTTGATAGAAAAATAAAATAAGCTTCCAGACCTTCTCTTCTCAACTCCAACCACACCGGCCTTCTCCTTTCCTTTCCTTTTCTATCCTTCCTCCTTCCACTCACGCCAGCCACACCCAAAGCCAACTGCAGCTGTCCCAATCTTTTCCTTCCCAGTCAAGCTCCTGCAAGCACTCTCAGGCAGTCCCCGCTACGTAAGTAAGTAAGTAAGTAAGTAAGTAAGTAAGTAAGTAAGGAAGGAAGGAAGGAAGGAAGGAAGGAAGGAAGGAAGGAAGGAAGGAAGGAAGGAAGGAAGGAACCAACTGTCAGCACTGGCCTCCAGACGTTTCAATACTAAACTAGGTAACCTCATCAGTGCTAGAAGGGAGGAGGGTTTGCAGGAAAGAGGAGGAGGAGGAGGAGGAGGAGGAGGAGGAGGAGAACTGTGGGGTCCTTGATGCTCTCTGAGCTTGGTAGTTTTCTTGCAGATGTTTCATTACTAAACTAGGTAACATCATCAGTGCATGGGGGGGGGGACTATGAGAGACTGAGCCTTGGGCCTGATCCACCAGAGTTTCATGCACAGAGTATTTTTAGCTTAGCCTCAATTCAATATATTAAATGCCTAATCCTACATGCCTTACTTTCTTCTAATAACAGAATAATAATAAAGTTGGAAGGGACCTTGGAGGTCCTCTAGTCCAACCCCCTGCTCAAGTAGGAGACCCTATACCATTTCAGACAAACGACTGTCCAGTCTCTTCTTAAAAACTTCCAGTGTTGGAGCATTCACCGCTTCTGGAGGCAGGTTGTTCCACTGGTTAATTGTTTTGTCAGGAAATTCCTCCTTAGTTCCAGGTTGCTTCTCTCCTTGATTAGTTTCCATCCGTTGCTTCTTGTCTTGCCTTCAGGTGCTTTGGAGAAGAACTGATCCATTTTCTTTTTTCTTTTTGGTTTGTGCTCTTCAGATCTCTACCTCCTTAGGATCTTTCCACCCGACTAACACTGTAGTTTCTTTATTCCACAAATAAATCGATAACCGCGAAGCCCAGAATGGTTTCTGGGCTTGTT